TTTAACATTGCAAATTTAACCATTGTAGTAGTGCAACTTTATGTGGGTTAGCACCTACAAGTTAGTACTGTATTTTGAATCTTAGGAGGGATAATCTGTGATCCATCCTTTGGGTTGTAATTTAGACTAGTTGTGTAAGATTTCTTTAATGGTAGATAGAATTCAAGAAAATCAATTGTTGGGAAGATTTATGATTTTGGTGAGACTTGTAAGGGATGCTAGGATCAGAAAGTATTGTAACAAATCTGATCCTCTTCCCATTGAGATTTACAAAAAGCTTATCAGATCATGGAGAGTAAATGTTCTAATCTAACTACAACATCCCAAATAACATTTGGATTTCAACAATATGTCTAGGCCAAATGAATCAATTACCAAGAAATATATAGGGGAATTTCTTGCTAGTTTCAACCCTGAACATGACAAATATTAGTTTGTTTGACACCCCATGTGTTGGTGAAGGTCGACCACCCATCTTCTATCTCATCTTCCAAAATAGATAACTCTTCTCAATAGTCCAAGTCATCATCTATCAACTCATAGAGAGTTGTGATGTTGGGATTGTCGAACCTTGGCATGTCAGGATAGGCATAAACCGTGGTCACCTCTTGATCAACAATAAATTGGACAAGAATTGCCCCCTCTGGGAGGGACACTGTAGGAAAAGCCATTGTTGGGGGTTCAGCTACGTTGCCCCTAGTCTCCATAATTTAAGGAGACTCTAATGAGTTGTGCTATGGTGTTGACGTCCCTTTTGTGGGTGTAGAGTTCCTTGAGGTTTGGACACTCACTGTAGTTTGAGCAGAGGAGGAAGAACCTATAGAGGGTTGTAGTGGTATTGGGTCAAAAGACCCCAAAGTCACCATAGTGACATTAGTAGCAGCAAATTTATCACCAAGATCTAACTCGATCTTTCCTTGTTCTATGAGATGAAGTATTTTGTCCTTGCTCTTCAAGTCGCTTGGGCGGTGGAAGTTCAGTAAACTTTGATTGGAGTAGCTGGTTGAGCATTTCTGGAACGTCGAAGTCAGGGAATGGATACTCCTTCTCTTTTAGTTCCTTTAGAGTAGGCCTAGACTTCTCTTGGCCATGGTTTGCAAAAGATTTCACTTTGATCTCCATTTCCTTTTTCTTGCTAGAGATCTTAACTAGTGCAATGGTAGTATTCATGACTTCCTTTCCTTTGGAGGAGGAGGAGGTCTTAAGGTTCTTCTTGACTTCCTTCTTTTCACAAGGATCACTTAGTTGGGGATTCCCATGCTTGGCTATCTGGATCTCCAAGTTATGACTCGAGTAGCCAACTCTTCGATGGTGGTAGGCATTTTCCCTTTGAGGCTGTAGAGTAGTCCCCAATGCATCCCTTGGACGCATGTGTCTATGGCAGAGGATTGACTGATTTGGTCATTGCACTGAAGAGCGATGTTTCTCAACCGCTCAATGTAGTCGATGACGGACTCATCATTTCTTTGCCTTGTAGTGGAGAGTTCTGAAAGTCCAACGGTTCGTCATGTATAGTAGAAGGGAGTGAGGAATTCTCTCTTAAGTTGGTCCCAACTATCAATGGAGCCAGACTGGAGGTTGGTGTACCAATCAAATGCTGTAGACTTGAGGGAGCGAACAAACTGCTTCACCATTTGGTTGTCGTAGGTGCCCGCGTTGTTGCAAGTCTCGATGAAGTGGGCTATATGTTGCTTCGGATTGCCCTTTCCGTTGAATTGTTGGAACTTAGGAGGTCGGTAGCCGACTGGCATGCACATCTCATTAATGCGATGAGTGTATGGTTTGGCATACACTAGAGAGGTCTGTGGAACTCCTCCATATTGGGCCCTTATGGTGTCAGCGATCATGTACTGGAGCTGTTGCACCGTCAGAGAAGCGACAAAGACTTGGGTGGTGTCTTGCATCATGTTTTGCACTGTGACTCGATCATGCTCCTCTTGTTGCTGCTTCAGTTGCTCTTGGAGGTTGGGAGTCGTTAGAGGAGTGAATCTTGGAGGGTGAGAAGGTCCTTGACTAGACTTTGCTTGACAATTTTGTATCTCCAGTTTGTTCATCAAGAAGGTAATATGAAGATCCTTCTAAGCATTGGAGCTCTTAAGGTTGTCAATGGCTTCGGCCATCTTTTGGAGTCGTTCTTTTGTCGTTGTGGCTTCTGCCATCATCACCGGTATGACACCACTAAAAGCAGAGTAGGAGTTGTGTGATGGAAAGGAGTAAGACTCCGACCTCGATGTAATGCCGGATTGGTCATTTGGGAGAAAGTGTTTCTTTCCTTTCACATCAATGTATGGAGAGTTGAAGAGGCTTTCCTTCTGCAGAGTAGTCGCCTTAGTGATTTTTCGTGTTGGAAGCTCCACTAGAGACAATAGTTGTGCTTTGTTGGATTTCGCCGTAGCACATGTGACAGGACGGTTGTAGGAAGAATCGGGAGCACCAGAGGGCTTGTTAAAGAAAGTCACAACCTTCTTGGTAGCCATTGGATGACTGTTGTAGTTGTTGACTCAAAAGATGAGAGGAAGAGAGTGTCCCACCGGGCATGCCATAAATTTGTTGACACAAATTTTGTGTATTTCAATTAACACAAAATATGGAGGCAAATTACAAAAAATAAATTTGTAATGAAGAAAACAAACAAGGGAATTAACTCTCTTTGATTTCTGCTCAATGATGTGAGCAACCTCTAATTAACGGTCGAATTCGATGAAGACAAGGGTCGTTGGCGTATTTCTCGTACTTCTTGAAGTGTTGATATGGATTTCCTTGATTTTGGTGCTTTGGGAGATTTAGTGTAGATTTCTTCACTTCGGGCTTCGCGCTCGATCAGCTGTGAAGGATGTTTCTCTAAGAAGGTCCCTTTTGTGATGGCTTCGTCTTCTTTGGAGAACTTGAATCCAAGTATTGTAGATAACGAAGAAACTTTTCCCTTCTTTCTTCTCTCTTGATTTTGCAGGAGCTTGTGGTTGTTTGCAATATTCGGTGTTGGTGTTTGAGAGCTTCTTGCAATGTGATTCTCTCAAAAGGAAGAAAATGAACCCTCTTTCTTCCTAGGCAAAGATATTTATAGCCAAGGATTAAGGCTGCCCCCTCAGCCCACTTAGCAAACCAGTCCCATGTGAGTGGAGTGTTGGGTTATGTGTTCAGAGGCTACTTTTATCATTTTCTTTGTTTTTTTTTTTTTGCAATTTTGCCTTTTTACTTATATGTGTTCAGAGGCTACTTGTAAAATTTTTTGAAAATTTTTTCACTATTCAAGCAYGATATAGATGACTCTTTTTAGGGTATTTTGGTTAATGTAAAACCACATGTTTTCATCTAAGGGCAACCTCAACGTTTAAAAATATCGAGATGATGACATCAACAATTTCGATTAACATTCTAAAGTCAAATAATGAAGAGGGTATAAATGTAATGATGTTAATCAGGGAGGATAGTGCTATTAGCGTAAAATGCAATTGTTTGAAAGTATAACAATTTACCCTAAATCATTTTGGTAAGAGATCTAAATAAAACCGGAAGCGAAATAAAAAAACCCAAACAAAAATGAACCAAAATTTTCACTCAATTAATTCATATTTGGCAGTCAAGTCATGCCATGCATTTGTTTATTACACATAATAAACGGGTTAAATACTTAAACTGCCCTTATGGTGTAGCAAATGGACACAAACCTACCATACTGTTTAAGAAATTACTTAAAGTACCCCAAACATTTTTGACAATGGACAAACCTGTTAAATATTGACAGAAAAGGAAAAAAGACCTTAATGCCCTTTTGTTAAGTGAATATGTGAAACCTTTATGAGGGCAAAATATCATTCTTACCCTTGTATATTTAGGTGAAAAGATGCAAGCACATTTCACCATTTTTGTTGTTACCTTTCACCGCTGAAGGGTAAAACTGTAAAAGACACCAAAGGGGACCATTGTAAATCTCGACAAGATCTCCAGTAAGTGCCGCAAAATCCCATGCGAGATCTATGGTAACCATAGGAAAGTAATTTAAGTTATTGTCTACTTGCTAAACCTCCGAATAGGGTTTATAAACCCTAACCCCAACAACAACTGGGATGAGATTTATCTGGTATTGGAGGGTATAAAGAAGGCAAAGGAGCTGGATATACAAAAGCTTATTGTTGAACGTGACTCTAAATTGGTTTTAAGTTCGTTACAAAAATAAAAAAATAATGGATTATAAAAATTTGCTAATGAGAGAAAGGAAATTAAATGGCAAACTAGGGGGTTGGAAATCCAATTTCAGTGGGCGAAGAGAACAGCAAAGTAGGGGGTGGGAAGGGGTCAAATATTTTGGGCTGTATTATAATTTTTTATTTTGTTCTCTCTCGAGAGTTAAGCCTTTTTACTTCTCTCTCTCTCTACAGTGCCCTAATTATTTTTCTCATTAATTTAATGTGAATTTGTTATTTTATTGATAAAAAAACTATAGCTAGGACGAGAGCTTGCGGCTAGAATAACAAGTTTTTTTTTTGGTTTGTACAGTGAGTTTGAGAGGGATTTTGCAGTGAGATTCGTGGGAGTATTTATTGTTCTTTACAGGCTTTACCTGTACCTGACCACTGAGATAAGCGTAAAAGCTTCTTATGATGGGCGGGTGTGAGCAGGGTAGGGAAGCGGGCGTGCGGGATGGATGGGCGGGGTAGGCAGGAGGGAGTATGCACTATGCACGCGCTGGGCACCCACATGGCTATCCGGCCTTGCCATTTCGTCGAACAGTTACAATGCAGGGAAATGCATTGCTGCGTTACACTTGTTCTGCACCCTTTGCGCGCAATGCACTCCAACCCGTCATGTGCAGCCCATTTCATCTCAACAGCTGACCCACACATGCTGAAATAAATTATGTACCCAATCCATCCCAACTGTTTGCTTTCATTGCTCGCTGCTAACGGATATTAATGAGGATAACATTTGTCAATTGTACAAAATGTCAGAGATATTTAAGCAATTTTATTAATAATTAATTAATAAAATTGCATAAACAAAAAGCCCAAACAAAATTATGCCTTGCCAAGTTGCAACTGCACAAGTCACTTGACCGGTTGTTTTCCTCTTTCTTCTCTCCACGTTAAGACAACAACCTGAAAAAAGTGAAGAAGCTGAGAATCTGACATACCCTAGTCCCTAGAAATCCACTGTAACCGAGAAATGCTCAGGTGAGCCGGTGTGACCAAGATTTATTTGTTCATGATGAAGGCGCGCGTGCCGGAATGGCTGAACAGCACTCTTTGGTCCTCCAAATCCCCACCCGTTGACGAACGTCTCCATCAATGCTCTCCGAAATCATCCACCCCTACCATATCCGCTGCTGAGCCTCCTCGGGTCGAACCCCCACTTCCCCAGCCTCCTCCAAAACTTATAATTCAAGAGCCGTCAACACCGCAAATGACAGATCCCCGTGGAGACGATCACAGGAACTCTCCCAGTTCTTTGACTGAGGACATTTCCAGGCAGACCCAACTCTTGGCAGAGGTTAGAGCTCATCAGTTTTGTGGTTTTTTGGTCCTTCATGAAGTATTTGATTTGAATTTATTGATTTTCCATCGTGTTGCAATTAGCTCTCGAAGAAGACAATAGATATGCATGAATTGCGGAGATTGGCATCGCAGGGTATACCAGATGGTGTTGGAATTCGTCCTACCATATGGAAGGTGTTGATTCTTCTCTGTAATGTTGCAATTTTCAGTTGGTGTTTGATTAATTTCCGGTTCGCATTAGATTTTTTTTTGGTTGTTGTAATTCTCAGTAGTTAATGGGAATTTATTGAGCTTCTTAGTTGAGTTATGGATATTCGGTAGTTTGTGTGTGTGTGTGTTTTCTTTCCTTTTTCCCTTTTTCTCTTCGTAGTTGATAGAAGAGCAAAAAGCGCATAAAATCTGAAACTAAACTCAATAAGGAGAAAAAGAGTACCGTTTGGTCTTCTTCATTTGTCAGAGTTGACAAAATTGATATGATCCAATTTATTTCCTCATTGGTGGACAGCTCTTGCTGGAATATTTGCCTAATGATCGTGGATTATGGGCATCCGAATTAGCTAACAAGAGATCACAATACAAGAATTTCAAAGAGGAGCTTCTGGTGAATCCTGTAAGTCATCTTCACCATAAAAGAAAAAAGATCCTGCAAATAATCTTGGGGATCGTTAAGGTATCAGTGTTGAATTGATTTCTTTGGCTGCTACTGACAATGACATTACTACAACCACTGATATGCAAGAAAATAGCAGTTTGCCTATTTAATTGTAATTTTGAAAATGCCATCACACGAACACGATTATGATGATTGTTAAAATGTAAAATTTAACAAAAGAAAATGATTAGTGTTCCTCTGTCAATTCCAAGGATGAGCATTCTGCAATCAAAAGATGGCTAAACGTTAGTCACTGAGAACTTCCTAAATGGGTCATATCCCAAGAATTACACTGATATTGTAGGAACACATTTGGTCATTCATCAAATTTTCTATTAACTTCCAAAGTTTTAGTCTTGCTTGTATGGACTATGGACAGCATTTTCTTAACTGGTATAATTTTCAGCTAGACCAATTACTGAAGGGGTAAGCTTGTTCTCATTGAACTGTATCCTTTACTGCCAACTTGCTGCATGTTTAGATAGTGAGTTCATTAGTAAACATGGTAAAGCCAGTTCTGTTATTTGTTGTCTCCTCCTTTTTTTTTTTCTTTTCTTTCTTTTACAAATTGGTTGAAACAGAAGTCTACTGCATGTTGCAGTTAAGTGAATGTGCAGCTTTCTTTAACTATTTATTTTTTATTCTTTTGTATTTTCCTTTGGAACATCTTGGTTGTCTGAATTTTTCTGTGGCTACTCAGTCAGAAGTCACTAGGAGGATAGAGAAATCTGCTGGGATTGAAAACAATGAATCATGCGAAGGAAGTGGCTTGCTCCCAAGATCAGAAATAACCCATGGAGAGCATCCTTTGAGCCTTGGAAAGACCAGCATCTGGAATCAGTTTTTCCAGGTAAGTATTTGATTGGTGTCTGCTAAACTGGTGGCTTTTGATACTAGAGATCTGATGGCTTCTGCATTGCATATTTGGAAACTTTTTGTTAATATTAGAGTAAGAGACACGATTTTGGTGGTTTTCATTGTGAGGAAATAAACTAAGTACTTAAATGCTGGCCATATCATTTTTTTTTTTGTTATTCAAAAATCAAAGTCTATGTGGTTCACATGCTATACAGTTTGCTAGGTGAGTTTGTTTTTTTCTTTTTCTTTTTATTTTAAGAAAAGGGTCAAGTATTGTATTCATTTATATACTGAAACCATGAACAAGTATATCCGTGTATAGTGAGTCACTATAGAAAAAGAACAGCCAGACATAATCATTCTGGCTTTGATATGTTCAGAAAAATAATTGCACAGAATCAAAAAATGCTTGATGAAGTTTATTCTTGAGCATCTCCTGCACAGATAACCAAAGTGAATTGACCCAATCACCCTTCTTGTTACTTCTTCAGAAGAGCATCTCCCTTATCCTCAAAAATCCTATGGTTTCTTTCCTTCCAAGCACACCAAGATATTGCTGCAGGAATTGTACTCCATAACTTTCTTCCCCTTCTACTAAGACCATCCACATTCCAAGCCTTCAGGTAGCCCTTTAATAATCTCGTTTGGCACCATCTGAGGTTAATGCTTCTGCAAAACATCCCTCTAGCCAGTGGGCATCCAAGGAACAAATGATCTGCTATTGCTCTATCTTCCCCACATAGTACAGAGCTGTAAAATTTCGGACTTAAACCTTTTCTCTGAAGATCATCTCTGGTGAGAGTGAGACACTTGCCTAGTAAAGCAGTCCAAATTAGGGACACCGTCGGAGGTACGTGCGGTACCCAAGTTTCTGTTGCCCGTGGATTAGTCATTATAAATAAAAAGAAAAGTACATCAGCAAGGCTGATGAGGAGTCACCTCCAATAACTTACAAAAAGCCAAAATGAGAGAACGTCCAAAAAAAGAGAAATAAAAAGACAAGACTAGCTACTTGATTCCAACTCAATAAGAGACCAAAAATTAGCACCAAGATCTTCCTTTGAAACTCCTTCAAAATCCGGGAGAATAAGAACCCAGTTCGTAATCCTTTTCCCACATAAAAGAGCCATCTGATCCCTTTGTTGAGCCTTGTCTTCAAATATTCTTCTATTTCTTTCTTTTCATACTTCCTAACAAATTATAAAAGGTATGCAGCTCCACACCTGGTAGAAAAGTTCCTTGAACTGTCCCATCTCCAAATCCTTGTAACTCCCCTGATCTGGTATTGGAGTTCTGCTGTTAAGTAACCTGATTGGGGATACCAAGGCCTCTATCTCTCAGTAACTTAAGAGTCATCTAAAGGATGGAACCAGGATACTACACCACCCTGAAGCTCATAAATTTGCTACCCTTGCATATGTGTTGTCAGCTAAAATGAAGAGAGAAGGAAATCTTTTCATTAGTGCTCTATCTTTACACAAGACATCTCTCCAAAAACTGATCCTATTTAGATCTGTTTATGGGCTAGGCTTGGGCTTAGCTTTTTCCATAATTTGAATGGGCCCAGCCTAAAGCCCGAGCCCAAAACAGTGTAAAGACGAGCTTGAAGCTTGGTCTGTGAACAGGTCTAATCCTATCCCTAGCACCCACTTTCAACTGAATACCTTGCAGAAAGTTGCTATGTTATTTTCCAACTCCTCTCTAAATCAAACAGCCATGAGGCCCTTCACTTATCCCCGGATCCCAGATGAAGTTTCTAGTTCTATATTTCTCGACAACGAGTCAATGGTCTATCTCCAAAGGCTTTGAAGCTATGTGCTGAGTCTTCATGTAAAATATGGTATTACAGATGCTCTAAACAGCAAGAAACAATGCTGTAAGAAGGAAAGAAGAGAAGAGAGGAGAGAAACCACTGAACTGTTGAGAGAGAGATTAGAATGTCTTAAATCTCCTCTTAGCAGTCAGCCTAGATTTATATTAATCTTTAAATAAAGTGCAGAATTACAACTGTGCCCTTAATAAAAACAATGGATTGGAGTGTCCTTATTCTAAGATAAAATCACCTAACTACCCTGCCACCCATGTACACCCGAAGTAATGCTCTTTCAACACTCCCCTTCAAGGTGGTGTGTATATATATCATATAGATCCAGATTGTTGGTGATAAAGTCAATCTGAGAACGATGTAGAGCCTTGGTCCATAAATCAGCTAACTATTTCCCATCTTCACAAATGGTGTGTCAATGTCACCACTTTGAATCTTCTCTCTAAGAAAGTGGTAGTCTACCTCAATTTGTTTTGTCCTCTCATGGAAAACTAGATTTGATGCAATATGAATGGTGACCTAATTATCATAGTGTAATTGCATAGGAGTCTTCACTAGAATCCCAATTTCTTGGAGAAGACTCTTGAGCCACACTAATTCTCCTGTTGCATGACTCATGGCTCCATACTCAGTTTTTGCACTTGATTTAGCCACAACATTTTGTTTCTTGCTCTTCTAGGAAATAAGATTGCTACCTAAAAATATAGAATATCTTGTTCTTGATCTCTTGTCTATTGGTGATCCAACCCAATCAACATTTGTGAACCCTGACAAAACCAAATGATCATGATCTCTGTAAATAATCCTCATACCTGGTGATCCCTCAAGATACCTTATGATTTTGTACATTGCTTCAAGATGTGGAACATGTGGAGAGCTCAAAAACTGACTTACAACCTCCATTGCAAAATAGATATTTGGACGGGTAAATAGTCAAGTAATTCAGCTTACCTACAAGTTGCTTGTATTGCCTGGGATCATCTACTAACTCCCACTAATCTGAAACTAGTATTGGGATCCATGGGTGTAGCAATTGGTTCACATCACACCCGTCTCCTCAAGTAGATGTAGATCTAGTGTATACTTCCATTGTAACAGAGAGATCTCTGTGGCTGATCTCATAACTTCTATGCCAAGAAATATCTCATTTTGCCAAGATCTTTAGTATGAAATCTCTCTTGTAGAAAGCACTTGAATTCATTGATGCCTTTTGAGTCACTCCCATGGTTTCAAATGTCGTGAAATTTCGCTAATGTCGCCCGACATATGTCGATGTCGAGGCTCGCCAACATGAAAATGGATGGTAATATAAAAATACATTATTTTGGTCGACATTTCCTTATATTTCGGAAATGTCGACCAAATCAGTCCAAATAACAAAAGAAAAGATAGTTTTTCATATTATGTCGATAGGATGTTGACTAATGTACATTAATAATATAATATATTAGTATATTATATTAATATAATACAGTATATTAATATAAATTATTCCATTAATAATTTCTATTTAATATTTCAAATAAAATATTTAATAAAATATTTAATAAAATATTTATTAAAAAATAATTAACAAAAAATAAAACAAAAGAATAAACTTTATAATATAAAACATAAAATATTTTTCAGG